ACAGGATATGCCATCATAGAACAGGGGAAAGCGCAATATTGATGGAGGAGGAACCCTCGTCGCATCGCAAAGACGCGATCGATGGAGACGAGGCTGAAAGTTGATGGCGGTGCCATTGTGCCCATCAGACGTAATAGATGCGCCGTGGCATGACTCCAGGGCATCAGAATCAGGCATGGGAGCCATCTTCATCAACCAAAACGATTCCATTGGCCACTAAGGTCATGGCCGATATGGATGTCAAGATGCCAGCGCGCCAGCTCGAGGCTGAGGTGATGGTTCGCGACGGGGATTTGGGCCGGCCGTTGCAAGGCCAGTATGATGGGTGAAGGGGCAACTTACAAGTCATTAACATGTGGCCCCCAGGCAGCAAGTACCATTGATCTGTATCAGATGAGGTATTGAAGAAGGATATGGACAAGTGACGTTGCGTGGGTTGTCCAGAGCCTGGCGGGTGAAGGGTGGTGGTGGATGGAAAATGTACTGGTGGAGAGGCAGGAAAGAATTGAGGTGGATGCACGGGTGAGGTACAGGTGGTTGTAGCGCTAGCCGCACTGAATCACCCCCGAGAAAAGTGTCGCACGTGATGGCCTCAGGCACCGATCCGCTTTGGAGCCTTCAGCGAGCGGGCGACCCAGCCGGAGGGCAAGAGCACCGGCAGTACGTACCTAATTGCTATCGATAAGGTCTAGGTAAGCGTAGTCCGACTCTCGCCGGTGAATGAGCGAATGAGCGACAGGGGTAGGAGGATGGGGGACACGGCCTCCAGCCTCAGCATCTGGACTTCCATCAGCCCATCCCAGGCCCGTCAACCGCAACCACAGGCGCACGCGCCGCCGCGAGCGGGCATAGTTCACCGAGACTCGGAACCCCGCTAGCGCCGCGATTTCACCGCTCCCGTCTCGTTTCCCCACTCTTAACATCGCAACTCCGTTACTGCCGATTTGATTAACACATGAGAGGCGGGATTCGACAACATAAAAGATCGGCTGACTGTCAGAATTATTTGGCGAGGGTAGAACAAACGTACTGACTATAGTCTACTCTGTGACTTGATCGGCTGATGCCTGCCAGATACCGATTTCCGAGCCTTCGCCCAAGATCAAATCCTAATGTCAGGAAAGTTAATAGTACCTAGGCAGACAGTCGTAGAATCTGCCCTGGGATACCGATAAGTAAGCTAAAGCAAAGTTTCAACTGGAAGGCTTGGTTAAGTTCTGAACAGAAATTAGTGTTTCGATGTGTCCAGAATCTGGAAAACGAAGAAGCGAAGACTGCGCACTGACATACGACTTTTTCTTTCGCTTTTGTCTTTCTCTTTCTGACCGGTCACTCCTTTTTCTCTGCTTGTGTTGGTTTTGTTCTACGAAATCCTTGCTAAGCAAGCGACAACCGCCCTGGGAGACTGGAATGCAATGGCGGGCGTCTGCGCAGTCATCTTGGGCAAGTCGCTATGCGCTCGGTTGGCCAGGGGTTGGTGGACAGCTGCCAGATGTAGCGGCAGAGACTTCGAAAATACGTCTTCCGACAGAAGCTCCAGACTCCAGATACTCGAGGCAATCGACTTGGATACGTTCTCCATGGTTCGATCGAACAAGCACAGCGTTGGGGAGTGCATACATAAGGTATTCTGGCAGGCATTCGTTAGGTTGGCAAATAGGTAAACAAGCGGTCAACGGTCTTTCGGACGAGTGCATAGGCACATTCCAAACTTGTAGTGGTTGCTGAGCGCACTCTACCTAGGCCTGGGAAGCCGGGCGTTTGGCCTCACCCAGCACAGTGATGTCAGGTGTTTCGAAAGTAGCGCAAGGTACTATTTCTCGCAATTTTGGTGTCTGATTACTTGGACAGGACCCAAGAACCCTCACTGGCGGGGTAGTGTGGCAGGTAGGGTATCGAAAAGTGCCCCGCCAAAAATTGGGCGATTCACACCAGTGACGGCGCACACAAATTGGATGACCGACTGCTTTTCGCTGCCGCAACCGTGTTTCTCGTCTCCGACACTTTGCAACAACACCAAAAATTCTCTTCTTCCGTCATCTCCAGAAGGCCAGGTCGCGACGCCTCGACAACCCTCGCCGCTTTGCCCGGTCCTGCAAATTTAATCCCGTCTCCTCCCGACTCGACCGACCGAACTCTCTCGCATTGCCTCGCTGCGCTACGCTCCCGCCCTCCCCTCTTCTTTTTTTATTTTTATCTCCTTCGCGCGCAGAAAAAAAACTGCCCCACCAACCCTCCCATCGTTAACCCCGCCTCGACCAGTCGGGCACCATCATCACCATGTCGGACAAGCTCACCCGTGTCGCTATCGTCAACAGCGATAAGTGCAAGCCCAAGAAGTGTCGCCAGGAGTGCAAGAAGTCCTGCCCTGTCGTTCGCTCCGGCAAGCTCTGCATCGAAGTCAGCCCCGAATCCCGCATCGCCTTCCTGTCCGAGTCGCTATGCATCGGTTGTGGTATTTGCCCCAAGAAGTGCCCCTTCGGCGCCATCACCATCATCAACCTGCCCACGAACCTCGAGACCCAGGTCACCCACCGTTATTCCGCCAACAGCTTCAAGCTTCATCGTCTGCCCATGCCCCGACCAGGAAATGTGCTGGGTCTCGTCGGTACCAACGGTATTGGAAAGAGTACCGCTCTGAAGATTCTCTCCGGCAAACTCAAGCCCAACTTGGGTCGCTACGACAACCCTCCTGACTGGGAAGATGTCATCAAGTACTTCCGTGGTTCTGAGCTCCAGAGTGGGTGAACCGACCTCCAAAAACTTGGCCCTTATCACATGCTGACCCCTTTTTACAGACTACTTCACCAAGCTCTTGGAGGATGACCTCAAGGCTGTCGTCAAGCCGCAATACGTCGACCAGATTCCCCGTGCCGTTAAAGGCCCCCAGAAATCCGTCAAGGCTTTGATCGACGCCCAGAGCTCCCTCGACAACAAGAAAGAGGTTTGCGACGTTCTTGAGCTCAACCATATTATGGACCGTGAGATCAACCTCCTGTCTGGTGGAGAACTGCAGCGTTTTGCCATCGGAACTGTCTGTGTTCGCAAGGCCGACGTTTACATGTTCGACGAGCCGTCTTCCTACCTCGATGTCAAGCAGAGATTGGCCGCCGCCCGTATCATCCGCTCTCTCCTCCGTGACGACGACTACGTCATCGTCGTCGAGCACGATTTGTCTGTCCTAGACTACCTCTCCGACTTCATCTGCGTTCTATACGGTCGTCCTGCTGTTTACGGTGTCGTCACCCTTCCTCAGTCCGTGCGTGAAGGTATCAACATCTTCCTCGACGGCCACATCCCCACCGAGAACCTGCGTTTCCGCGACGAATCCTTGACCTTCAAGCTGGCCGAGGCTGCCGATGAGTTCGCTGCTGAGAAGTCCCGTGCCTTCAAGTACCCCAAGATGGAGAAGACACTGGGCAACTTCAAGTTGAAAATCGACTCTGGCGACTTCACTGACTCTGAGATCATTGTCATGATGGGAGAGAACGGAACCGGAAAGACCACCTTCTGCCGCATGCTTGTGGGCGCACTCAAGCCCGACAACAAGGCCTCAGTCCCTGAGATGAAGATCTCCATGAAACCCCAGACCATCACTCCCAAATTCGAGGGCACTGTTCGTCAGCTCTTCTTCAAGAAGATCAGGGCCGCTTTCCTGTCTCCTCAATTCCAGACCGATGTCGTCAAGCCCCTCAAGCTGGATGACTTCATTGACCAGGAAGTCAAGAACTTGTCCGGTGGTGAATTGCAGCGTGTCGCCATCGTTCTGTCTCTGGGTATGCCTGCCGACATCTACCTCATCGACGAGCCTTCTGCCTACCTCGATTCCGAGCAGCGTATCATTGCTTCTCGTGTCATCAAGCGTTTCATTATGCACGCCAAGAAGACCGCCTTCATCGTCGAGCACGATTTCATCATGGCCACTTATCTCGCCGATCGAGTCATTGTCTTCGACGGCAAGCCCGGTATCGATGCGCATGCGAACAAGCCCGAGTCTTTGCTGACCGGCTGCAACACTTTCCTCAAGAACCTTGATGTCACCTTCCGTCGCGATCCCACCAACTACCGTCCCCGTATCAACAAGCTGAACTCTCAGCTCGATCAGGAGCAGAAGCTGGGTGGCAACTATGTAAGTTTCATCGGCAAAGAGCGTGGCTCGACCACATTTACTAACTGTGCATGTAGTTCTTCCTGGACGACGGAGACAAGACGAGTTAAAGAGGGCATCCACAAGGATGGTTTTTTCCCTCTGCGTCACAATGCATTCGACACAGGCGTTAAGGGCGTTCAAAAGGGGCATAAGCGGCAGCTGGGGAGGCGCGCTTCCGGCGGTCAGGATCACGGTTTGGGTTTAGAGGCCGGCGCGTCCGAGGACGACGACGCCGAAGGCTAACAACGGCGACGGCAGTCTATCCCCTGTTGTCTGGTCCTGCGGAGAATGACGTGGGTTGATCCCGCTGCGTAGGGAAATTCCTGATTCAGGTCCGAGCCACTTCTTCCTCGGCCGGCACATTCATTTGGGACACCTAGACTCCGTAGATTGAGGGACAATGGATCAAGCAGGATGACTGCCGTCAAACCTTGTCATCAGCAATGTGCTGTGGCAAGACTCGTGCATATTTAGAACATGGCAAGATATATATCACGTAGCAAAATAAGAAGGAACAAAAGACCGTTGTTAAAAATGCTAAGTACGTTTTTTATACTACCTGAGATGTGCGCACCTGCAGTTAGGTCAAACAAGAGATATACATACAGACCAACCGAGTACCGGGAATGCCCACTCCTGAGGGTGGTAACGGATGAAACGCGGGAAGGGCGTACGGCAGATGAGAAATGCCACCCGACGAACAGCGCGCCGGGAAATGCAAGGAGGAACAGGTATGTCTGTAGGCGCAGCAGTCATCACGCTCTCACTGACGGCTGGTGATTTCCGATACGTACTCGAAAGTCACTTCTCACGCTGGTTGATTCCCCCTCTGACCCTCGTTGTGACAGGCTCAGTCTTCCTCGATCTCGCCTTCCTCGGAGCCAGAGTGGACCCCAGCGTCGTCCTTGTTATTCTTGCCGTTGTCTTCGTTGCTGCTCGCAGCAGCGGGAGCTGCGGCCGGGGGCGGAGTCCTGTTTTTGGTGCGTGCATCACGTTGGGGGGTGCGCTCACGAGGTGTTCTTTCTCTCCTCACTCTCTGAGCCAAGGTTAGCGAGTCGTTCCAACGAAGAACATGCTTGTCCAACACAGGTGACGTACCTTTGAATCTCTGGAATCGCGACGGTCATCCTCATCTTCCTCGCGGCGACGCCGAGATCCAGATGGGCGCTCGTCCCCATAAGGGAGCTCATCGTACGATCCCATTCGTCGTCGGTAAAGCCTCTCGCGCTCCTCTTCCCTGTCCCTCCTTTCGCGGTCGTAGTGGCCATCATCATCGCGGCGGGAACGATGACGGTCATAGTCGCGGTCTCGGTCGCGCTCGCGATCTCTGTCCCGCTCACGCTCACGCTCCCTCTCGCGACGAGGAGGTGGCGACAAGCGGCGATCGCGATCCGAAAGAAGGCTCTCGGCCATGGTCGACTTGCGGTGGTTGCGCTCGCGCTCTGCAATGGCTTTACGCCTATCCGCCTCGTACGCGTCTGGCTCTGGGCTACGACTTCGCCTAGTAGCACGACCACTGCTACGATGAGATCGCTCACCTCTAGATCGGGGTCTCTCACGGTACAGATCGCGTTCGCTGGAGTCGCGCCCACGGCGCCGGCGGCGGTCGCGATCAGCCTCTTCCTCCTTCTCACGGAGTCGTTTCATGTGCCTATCAAAGGCTGAGATGCGCGCCTCTTCCGAGGTGACTGCCAGGAAGGCAGGGATATCCGCAAGGCGAGATTTGACCTTCTCGTACGTGTCATCCAATGTGATGGGGGGATCCATACGTTTGAAGTATGCCCGGAGATCATCGGCCGCTCTCCGCTGCTGTCGCTCGGACTGGCGCTCCTCCTCGGACCGCTTGGAGGACCGTCTCTCCTTGATCTGCACGAACATCAGCTCCGGCAACAAGCGATTGTTTTGAGACAGGCTTACCCGTTCGAAGATAACCATAAGCGTTTCACGATCAATGTTAGCAGTTCGTCGATTCTTCTTGATAACGGCGTGGAACTCCTCAAAAGTAGTTTTGGGGGTGACATCAAACTGCTCATCCTGTGAAAGAGTTAGTGGGCCGCACACAAAAACGGAAAACACGGGCAACATACTTCAAGGACATCCCCAACGTCATTCTTGGCACCGCGGATGGCTTTTTCCTCCTCTTCGACGAGGTCCCAAAATAGTTCCTGGGGCGTAGAGCCGCCCTGGCCGGCCATGTTCTTGTAGCGATCGTCGTTCTCAATGAGGGGGTGAATCAGGCGCCACTTTGTACCGGCATTAATCTTGCCGTCTCTCCTGAGCTCATTAAGGAGCGAAAGGAATGCGTCACGAGCCTTGCGCTCTTTACGGAACTTCTTGTTCTTCTGCTCCTGCTTAGAGTCGTTGAAAGCACGTTCCAAAGCCTTCATGTGGTTTTGGAATGCAATCAGGATGTCAAACTTGCTCAGGGTCATGTACTTCTCATCATTTTGGAAAGGTGCCGTGGATGAAATAAGCCCTTGGGCGTCCGACCAGCGTGTGTAAGGCTCCAGGTTGAGCTTTGGCAGCAAATCAATCAAGCCGTCCATAGCGGTCTTGCGCATGGCGGCCTGGTTCTCCGTGTGCGCCTTCCTAAGTTCGATGATGTACTCCTCGAAGAGCTGACGGCGCTCGGATTCGTTATTGGTAGACCGGAAAATGGTCTCGCCTTCGATCATAGGCCGTGCCGTCTTCCACCGGGTGTAGTGCTTGATCTCGGGATGGCGTTTAAGCATGGTCTCGAAGTCAGTACGAAGCTTCGTCAGTCTCTCCTTTGCGCGCTCCTTGTCTTGGACGATCATGTCATCGCAGTACTTTTCGAATGCTGCCTTGCGATCCTTCGGGTCCTTTATCGCCCGATACTGAGGGTCCTTCGCAATGGCTCGCAGCGTCTGCTCCCATGTCCAGTCGGGTTGAACACCACTACGCTTCAGCAGCTTAGTGAAAGCAGCTTCGGCTTCCTCCTGTGTAGCAAATTCGGGCTCGTTGCTGGCGGGAACGAACGCCTTTGCGTTTGTGTCGTTGCCATACGTCAACTGGCGCGACTCGGGGAATGTTTCACGATCACGGTCGCGATCGCGATGGTCGCCACGGTAAGAGTCATATCCGGAGTTGGAGTACCCACCAGAAGGTCCTCCTCGGTCGTAGCCTCGATCATTCGTGGGACTGCGCTTGTTAGCTAGCGAAGTGCACTGGGGTGGTTGTTTGCGTACGCAGATGTTGCCGGACCATTAGTAGCTCCCAAAGCCGCCTTATACGCCTCAGGCATCTCCCATGAGCTCGTCTTCGTCTCGGTGTTGTACCAGTACTTGCGACCGCCTTCGGCAGTATACTCCTTCCACGGCTGATTGGCAAGCGCTCTCTGTAGATCAATTAGCGATGGTCACACGTGTCGCGGGTCAGTTCTAATACCTCAGCAGGCGTCATCATGTCCTCGGGTTTGGTCCATTGCGTGACCTTCGTTGCGGGGTTGTAATAGTAGGCTCTGCCGTCAGGCGTGCGATGCTCCTGCCACGCCGCGGGCGGCTGGCCGTACGGGCTACCGGAGCCATTCATGGCGAATTTGTCGTCCGTGGCTGATCCGTACAAGATCAGTGCGAAGCTCGACAGCTTCTTGTCTCGATTTTGATGAAGGAATGGGTTTGGAGATGATCTGGCAAGCGTCTCGAGGAGAAGAAGCAGCAGGTCGTCACGCGGCAGGTACGCGAGAAAAGGCTGCGAACAATTTGCGAATGCACGGAATGCGCAATTTGGTCCGGGGCACGGACTGGGGTAGCTTGGAGGATGAGGGATCCACTGCCCGTCCAGCATGCTCCGTGTCCCCGCTGAGGTAAGCCAAACAGGGGACCTCCAATCCCATTCAGAGCCAATCAACGCTCTCAGTGAGACCGGCTGCCAGCACCTCACCTCGATACATCGGAGCTTTCACCGAGACCCTTTACCGCACTACAACGATACTTGCGAGGCAAGACTTCAACCGACTGTCTCTCTTCTAATCGTAAGAAGTAAATCGTGAAGCTACTGACGCTCAACACCCGAGTTTGACTAAGCAGCCTGTCCGGGCGTCTCCTATACCTCTTTATGCGGACACAGTTGTGAAACTGACCCTCACCAACGTTCCACGATTGAGCATGAGAAGCTACGTCTCACAGCACATAAGGTAGCCCGGCATGGCTACGAATGAACACAGGCGAGAGCCTCCAGAGGTGGAAGAATTCATCGAAAACGCCTTTCTCACATACATCATTCCTAAGGCAACCAATTTGAATCTCGAGGAAGCGTTCAAGGACGTTGACGACACCCAAGCTCTATTTGACTCCATCGAGCGAAGGGAAAACCTCTTCTTCGGTGTGTTTCTCTTCTTACAGTTTACAAAGGATTCGGAATAATAACCTGTGCAAGACGAAACGGTTGATGTGCTTCTCGTGCTTAGGGCACCTCTTGTCGACGAAAAGACATTGCGCTCTCACTTCAATCGGCTAGCCATCTCACTCGAAACCCAAATCGTCAACAGTCACGCCGCAGACCGGGACCACCCGTCGACAGACATCATCTTCCAAGGCACAATCGAGGATACTTCGGACCCATTCATCGTCGTTGACGAACCTGACGAGGGAAGCGAGGACAGTAGCAAGGACGAGACCGAGACCGAGAACAAAGCAGAGGCCAGAAACAGGCCGTCGCATATCTACGCCGTCTGGAAGCTCCCCGTCTTCCTGGCTCGCCCTCGTATCCGCCTCCAGGGCCCCTTTGCGGTCTTCAGCGCCTCCGCCGGCCTCAAGCCGGCCTCGGCAGCCGCGTCGGGGACCTCCACGCCGGAACGCACAGCGGGCCGCAAGAATGGCGGTGCGTATCTTCAGTCCGGTGTACCTTCGGGTCTCAACCTCCTGGAACCATTCAGCAGTGATCCGGGCTTGGGCGGCGTCGTTCCACGACTCTCAGCCCTGCGCGTCTCCCGGGTTGCCCCAGTCACTCAGCCCAAGGACCAGACGCGTCCCCTTCGCGCCCTCAACAGCGTTCGTGTGCGCATCTTCCCAGCAGTTCATACTCGCGTGCGATTCTCCCGTCCAAACACAATGCCCACTTCTCCAGCACTCATCGCCCTCCTCGAAGTTGATTTCACATCTTACTTCGACTGCCCCGTCGAGCTGACAAGCATTCGCCTCTCGGTCGCAGATGGCGGCATGGTCGAGGACCTCAATGCTTCAGACACCTCTGGTCTTTCTCTTCCCATGTCTTGCGTGCCACACGACCACGTAACCTTCCTCTACCGCCTCTCGCCACCACAGCAGCTCGATCTCCCATCATCCAAGAACCCAAGCCGCGATCTCGATATCCACATTGAAGCCATCGTCCAGAGACAACCTGGCCTCTGTACTCCCCGCCTAACCATGAAGTGGTCCACAACCCTCGATTTCACCCTCCCCGTCAACCCAGGCTTCAACGCTGCAATGCAACCGATGCAGCCCATCCAGCGTTCGCACCGACCTTCCCAGCTCTCCATCAACGGAATAGAGGCGGCGCAGTCCCTGGTCGCACCGGCAGTCAGCAGACCCGATTCCCTTCCGTCTCTCGAAGCAGCGACACGCTCAATCGAAGCACCTCTACCGGAGCTGGGCATCACCATGACCTTTTGCGGCCCTGAAGGTCCAATTTACGCCGGCGAGGTCTTCTCATGGACGGTCTTCGTTGTGAACCGTAGCGCAGACAAGACCAACGTCCCGGCGGCCCCCCCACGCAAGCTGGCGCTCGTCGCGATCCCGAAACGCAGACGCAACGAGGTCCGGCTCATGCGCCCGCCCTCAACCAGCGGTCGAGGCAAGACGGCATCCGATGCCAAGGAACTCGCCGACGCGGTGCTTGACGAGAACGTACTTCACGCAATGCAGCGGAACTCCGTCGTCGAATCGACAGAGGTTGTTTGCCTGACCGCCGACTCTCGTGTTGGCCCTCTCGCTCCTGGCGCATGCCACGTCGTGGAGATCAAGTTCTTACCCCTGAAGGAGGGCATCGTGGGCATTGAAGCCGTCAGGGTCATTGATCTTGGGTCTCAAGAGCACGTAGATGTGAGAGACCTGCCCATCATGTTCGTAGAGAAGCGACCGGAGGAACAAAAGACGGTATAAACAGACGAGGAACGGGCATTTTCGATTGAGAGCAGCGAATCCGTTTTCCTTTTAACCCTAATCTAACCCCGATGACTGCTTCGTGCCATCCTCTCGGGGGAAATGCAATGCAATGCTACCCGAATGCAAAAACCTTGGCTCCAAGTGATGCTATGGTATGTCATGTTTGTTCGTCAAGCTGATCCGATTCATCTTTCTTTTCCATTCCATCCACGACCCGGCAAAAAGTTTCAAACCCACTTGGTATCTGTTTGCCTGATAATTCCATACACGCCAAAGAATGCAAATGCAAATGCAAATCATAACAAGTCGTCAAAGTCATCATCCCATCCTAGTCTTTCGTATATCGACTTCGGCTTCTCTTGCGGCGGCGGCGATGGTGGCGGGATCGTCGTCTCTGCATTGGCCATTGGAGTCGCCGCCACCTCATCGCCTATTACATCTCTGGTTCTTTGTTTGCATGGCGTCGCCGGCAGGCCAACGTCCGGTGACTGCGACCGTACTGGATCAGGTCGCTCACGAATCACACTGGCGGGCACGCTCAAATGTTGAGACCTCGCAGGCTTCCTCATCATCAGCGGCGATGAGGGCGGAATGGCGTATTCATCATCACGCGAAGGTCCTGCAAATATGCCACCACGCTTGACTGGTGTGGCCTGAATAGCCGAAGACGGTGTGCTGCCCAAAACATTGATATGACCTCTCCGCGGCCCAGTCGAGGGAATTCTCGACGCGCTAGAGGGGGGAATGCTCGACATCGGTATCGACATATTACTAGCATTTTTCGATTCCGCCAAGGCATCTCGGAAGCGGTGATTCGCCGGCGTAACCTTAACCTGAACTGTGTCAAACAGAGGATGTCTTGTCGGTTTCTTGGATTCTGGGAAGAGTCAGTAATGTAGAGAATCAGCTAGTAGAGGACAGAGCCTACTCTTAATCGAAGACAAACCACCCGAGGTTCGCTTCTCTGCGTCCTCCACTATGGCCTTGCCCGCTAGCTCACGGTTGGGCTTTCTGAGAGCTGTGATGGCATCCTTGAGCTCGGCCTCCACCATAGCCTTCTTTTGCGCCTTGGCATCATCCAAGGCGGTCAAGCTGTTACTCCTAGAAAGTAGGCCAGTCCTCTCGACTGAAGGCCGTCGATCAATGTCGCTATTCTCACGCTTGAGTCCCGGGAGATTGGCTGCGGTTGCGGATCTCAATAATGCAATAGCATTGCTAGGGCCCCTGGAAACGCTGCGACGAGACTGTTCTTTGAACAAGGCCTTCTCGATATTCTTTGACGCAGCCTTCAGAGTTGGCCGTTTCGCAACTGCACCAGGCTTCGCATCCGACTTGCTAGATGAGGGTTTTGTCTTGGGTTTTGGTGGAGCAATGATGACAGGGCCACCAAGCTTGCGATTGATCGAGTCACAGATACCAGGCAGTCGGGCCGCGAAGCTACGGGCGTTAGCATAGAAATCGGTGATGCTATTCCACGAGGACTTACAAGGGCATAATGATATCGGTGCAGAAGTCCTTCAACGGGTCAGCGGACGCCTTCTGAGCCGATGCGCCGTCAGCAGCCACAGACACCTGAGAATCCTCAAGAAGCCTCATCTCATCAGAGGCTGTCGACTGCCATATGCACAAGCGGTCGGCGTGAACATCGGCCAGCACGGGGAAGTTGTGCTTGCTGCGTTTCTTGGGCTGCGCCTCAGTAGCGTTCTCGGCCTCCTCCATCGGCAAGCCTGGTAACTGACTCTCTCCCTCTCCGTCAGCTGCTCGCAGCGGTTCCAAGGCAAGGATCTCAAGAACGAGGATCATTTGCAGCTGCGTCTCACGGGTCCTGAGAAGGGAAACATGAGACTTGATCTGAGCCGGAGTAATGGTTGCATCGTCGTTTTGAAGCTCCGGTTTGCTCGAGTCCCACCACTTACGGACGTGGTCGTCCTCGCCAGGGTACATGCCGTATTTGCTCAGTTTCATCTTTTTGGTTCTTCTTTTCTTGGATTTGCCTCCTTCATCAGAGCTGTCGACGTGTGTCTTCATCTTGGAAATTATTTCAGGTACTGTCTCACGGTACTTCTTGTCAATCTGAACCGTAGTCATGACGAGACTCTTGAGAAAGTCTATGAGGTCGTTCATATTCATGGTACCGTCGCAGTCGAGATGGAATGCGGCACGCGCTCGAGATAACGGCCCCTTTGCAAAATACGCCAGAGACCCCTGTGCCAGGTCAGCAATGTATCCGCCGAGCGGCGTCCAAGAACTTCGCCTACCATCGACTTGTAAAGTGCTTCCATGTATTGCGTCCTGATGTTCTCCATGATCTCGCCGGCCGTCTGCGTGGCGTTGAGCTCCCTAACCGGCTGCGGGATCGCTTCAACTGCGTCCAGGTGTGTCCCAATCCACTCGGCAGGCTCCGGCTTCGTCTCGACCATCTGGACT